GAACTATGATTAAGATTTCGGCGTACAGTTAAAAAGATCTATTTTAACCCACCATAACATCATAATCGCATGACCGATTTCCAAGCAATTTTCGATAAAATGATCATTCAGACATGTCTATGTCATCTTACTGAGCTGTTATGATCTTCACAAATATTTCAGCTTGTATAAAAACCTAAGTCTGAGGAAGTTATCCACTGAAGGACATTAATATAGCATGTATTGATATTACTCCTGAAACTACAATAGATGTGGGTGGGCTTATTACAGGACAATGATATAGCATGTATTGATATTACTCCTGAAACTACAATAGATGTGGATGGGCTTATTACAGGACAGTGATATAGCATGTGTTGATATTACTCCTGAATCTACAACAGATGTGGATGGGCTTATTACAGGACAGTGATATAGCATGTGTTGATATTACTCCTGAATCTACAACAGATGTGGATGGGCTTATTACAGGACAGTGATATAGCATGTGTTGATATTATTCCTGAAACTACAATAGATGTGGGTGGGCTTATTAAAAGGACAATGATATAGTATGTGTTGATATTATTCCTGAAACTACAATAGATGTGGGTGGGCTTATTAAAAGGACAATGATATAGTATGTGTTGATATTACTCCTGAATCTACAATAGATGTGGGTGAGCTTATTAAAAGGACAATGATATAGCATGTGTTGATATTACTCCTGAATCTACAATAGATGTGGGTGGGCTTATTAAAAGGACAATGATATAGTATGTGTTGATATTACTCCTGAAACTACAATAGATGTGGGTGGGCTTATTAAAAGGACAATGATATAGTATGTGTTGATATTACTCCTGAAACTACAATAGATGTGGGTGGGCTTATTACAGGACAATGATATAGCATGTGTTGATATTACTCCTGAATCTACAATAGATGTGGGTGGGCTTATTAAAAGGACAATGATATAGTATGTGTTGATATTACTCCTGAAACTACAATAGATGTGGGTGGGCTTATTAAAAGGACAATGATATAGTATGTGTTGATATTACTCCTGAAACTACAATAGATGTGGGTGGGCTTATTACAGGACAATGATATAGCATGTGTAGGTATTACTCCTGAAACTACAATAGATGTGGGTGGGCTTATTACAGGACAATGATATAGCATGTGTTGATATTACTCCTGAAACTACAATAGATGTAGGTGGGCTTATTACAGAACACTCTGCAATAAGTCTCCTCGGCCACCCATCAAAATTACTTTCAGTATTCTATATATAAAACTATTCAACCACTTTGATCTTGATACCATGAAACCTGTAATAATACAATGTCTATATATAACAAGGATGACCTTGGCTTTGACCTTGGGCCCCTGAAACACAATGATGTTTAAAGTATATTCATGATTGACCTTTGACCTTCCTGAAATGTTTCACAAGTTGAAGAATGAAGTTGCTAGGTGCTTTAAAGAAATCGAGATGAGACTGACATGGCCAATCCTATATGCCCCCCTCCATTTCATTGAAATAGAAATGATCAGAAGCTGATTTCATTATCAAGAAGAATTAATAATATAATTATTTTTCTAAGATTATTTGATACAAAGTCCTGAGCACCATTTCCAAAATTCTGATGAATCCAGTTGTAAAGTGATATAGAGGGTTCTCAATGTTTGAGTGAGTTCCACAGGAAAAACTTGAGTCAATCTCAAATAATCGAGTCTCAAAAATGTCTGTGATGTACATATATCTGCCCTCCATCAAGTTAAATTACCAACCTACAAATCTCAACACTGAATGACTCACGATCTCTTTAAGCATGAAATTACAGTAAATCATGTTTATCAAAGAAAGTACTAACACAACCTACATACAAAATGTATTGATATTTTACAAGCCAGGAGATCAAGATATATTGTTATTTATAAACTCTCATAAGTAATATAGAGGGTAGGGTCCGATATTGGTACTGGATCTTCTATATATAGAATCTAGTAAGTAATATAGAGAGTATGGTCCGATATTGGTACTGGATCTTCTATATATAGAATCTACTAAGTAATATAGAGAGTATGGTCCGATATTGGTACTGGATCTTCTATATATAGAATCTACTAAGTAATATAGAGAGTATGGTCCGATATTGGTACTGGATCTTCTATATATAGAATCTAGTAAGTAATATAGAGAGTATGGTCCGATATTGGTACTGGATCTTCTATATATAGAATCTACAAAGTAATATAGAGAGTATGGTCCGATATTGGTACTGGATCTTCTATATATAGAATCTACTAAGTAATATAGAGAGTATGGTCCGATATTGGTACTGGATCTTCTATATATAGAATCTAGTAAGTAATATAAAGGGTATGGTCCAATATTGGTACTGGATCTTCTATATATAGAATCTAGTAAGTAATATAGACGGTATGGTACTGGATCCTAACAAATGTGCATAGGTGGTGTATTAGTGGTATAGATGATCAATGAAGTACAGTACAGACAAGTGAGGACACTTTGCCAACCATTTAAATGGAAATCACACATACTAGACCAATGTAAACATGTTTCCTATAGAAAGTGCACATATCATTTATAGAACTTCAATGTACATACAGGTTACTATACATTGTAAACATAAAATTTTTTTACAATCCTGTTTTATTCCCAGAGTCTGTGTCAACTTGCTGTGCATTCGTCACGAATACCAAATAGATACTTGATTTCTTTGTCTAAACTTCATAATCTTGTTGAAATATTTTTTTTCAGTCAATCCATTCAAAACAGCATTATTTTATATTAAAACAATAGTACAAAGCTACACCACAGTGTACTCACTAAGATTTAAATGAGGTGGTATGTCTACAAACATTTCTGACTCAACATTAACCAGCTGTAACATCATCGTTTAAATACTTTAACCAGTGATTTTTGGGACTCAAATATTTCAGTCCTGAATTCATATTTTCCTACAAAACTCACTCAAATTTTAAGAGCCCAATTATATCGTTTTGTAACCTGGACTCAAAATTTTGGATATTACACTATGGACTTACCAAATAAAAAATCCTACAAAAATTACTGTGGAACAAGTAGCCAATTCTGACTTGATGAAAACAAGGCTATTTCTTTCAGCAACTAGCTTTCTCTTTGAACACTAAATCGTAAATTTTCAATTTATACAAACATACAGACCAACATTCACACGTTAAACAGTGAAGATATATGCTTGAAAAAGATACAGAAAAATCTACATATTATCCAAACATTATCTTTGTGTCAACACTTGAACATTTACATATCGTGACATCTGACACGGCCTAACACAGTATGGACATACCCCTTTGAACAACGATGGCCACTTTCCCCTTAACCAATTGGATCAGGTCAGACAACCTGAGAACTAGGTTCAATGATAACACACCAGAACCGGAAGTCTGAACTGATATGTGTACATTTCAAAATGCAGTTTCTGAATTTCTTGTCAAAAGTGAAAAAATGAACCAATAAGAAAATTACTATGTATTTTAATTCGTACTTAATAGCGTAATATTTCCCATGGACAAACTGGGTTATTGTTGTTATTCAGCAAGCTAGTCCCTGTTAGGCACAACACTCAAACTGCACCTGTCTAATATATATGGCTTTAAGTGTTAAGTAAATTTATTTTTTATTCAACAGAGAATTAAGTCATAATGTAATGTAAAATTCCTTCTTAATGTCAAAACTCAAAAATATGAAAATAATATCAACACTTTGACAAACCCTGAAATATACAATATCTCAAATATTATGAATCCTTCACTGATATGGTAAAAAGTGGTTGTGGTTTGACTAATAGACATCATTGTCAACTAACTGTTTACTGTCTTCAATAAATGGTCATAATGAACCATTCAAAGATAAAATCACCATTCTTTTCCGGTGTTTACCTATCCAAAAACCTTCTGAATCTATACTTAGATAAAACCATTTTTTTTTGTGGTGTTTACCTATCCAAAAACCTTCTGAATCTATACTTAGATAAAACCATATTTTTTTGTGGTGTTTACCTATCCAAAAACCTTCTGAATCTATACTTAGATAAAACCATATTTTTTTTGTGGTGTTTACCTATCCAAAAACCTTCTGAATCTATACTTAGATAAAACCATATTTTTTTGTGGTGTTTACCTATCCAAAAAAACTGCTGAATTTATACCAGTGATTTCAAAACAAAAAATAATTCAAAGTCTTATTTATCTTTTTAAGAATTGGTCTAAAGAAGTATAAAGTATCTGTCAGTGTATATATTTATGGTTACCTGGAAACGCCTGCTATTCTTTAACTTATCACATGATGAATACAATAAATTAGATACTATTTCTGAAAGACAGCCAAGATGAAGCAAAGGTTAACAGGTTGGCTCTCAACAAAACTAAGATTTTTTTTATAAGGTCAGTAATTAATATCATGATCAGCATAATCATAATTTGACGATGTATGCTAAGACAATGGTTCCATTGTACATTGTGTACATACCATAAAACTGTCTTCCTTTGCGCATTCACAGTAATTGAAGAAAAAGGCATTCCAGTTACACAGCAAGATAAAAAAACAACTGTGTAGGATTAGTCACTACTTATTGAGACATATAAACAGTCATCAGTAATAAATTTGTATTGACCCGTATTTACCGGTCAGATATAGAATGACTGTATCCACGTATACACACTCTTTTAGATAAACAAGCTCGTGCCTTCACTGACCATATGATAGCACAGCCCGACTACAGCCTTGGGGCGTATTACAATTCTATTCACTAAGAATTCACACAAGGTGTATGTGAGAATGGAACTATATTTTCCAAGAGAAATTAAATCTACTAAAAGCAAAAGCAAAGTTGTTTAAAATTAAAGTTACCAAAAACATATGAAAACGCAAACAACGTGATATTTATCACACAAATTATTGGACATTACATGACAATTTTTTGACAGCAAATAAGGATGGTGTTTACCTGTATAAATAGCAATGAAAAATAGATGTAGGACACAGGAGATCACTAATTTCTCCATGGTTACTTGTGTATTTCCCTGAGTTTTCTCTCCTCTCTGTCTGCAATGGCCACCAAATTTCTCCAAAACGTCTCTATCCGCTTAAATTCATTTGTCAACACAACATCTTTCCAGATACACTTTCTCGCGGAAATGATTAAATTTTCTATGGGCATGCGCAGTGCATGTAAGATTCAGGAGAAATGATTCTTCCGGGTTAAAAATAGATCGCCCTGAAACATGACAATAAGTTTTCGTGGTACAAACCTGCTGATATATACGACCCTTGAACACACTGACGTGAACCTCACTCCCGTGGAGACGTGATTCACTTCTTCATAGTGTCACGGTTTAAGTCAACAGGACATTATAAATTGTGTAAACATGATCTACGACTGTAAAAAATCCAAATAAATCATCGAGTAATATTAGAGGGAAACACATTTATTTATGTATTTATTTATTTATTTTAATCAGTATATTTTCAGATATACTTTTATTTTATTTTCATAAATATGTATATTTATCTATTGACTTAGATAACGAAATTTGAATATCTAATTTCGAAAACATGACTGTTCTTTATTATGTAATAACCGGGGTATACTTTTAAAGTGTCATCAATTTATTTTTGTATAATGATACCAAGAGATAATATTTATGCAAACGTTTGTCTCACAAACAAACAAAAAATATTTACTTATATATTTACATTTTAAATGTATTTTTATACCTGTTTTGAATACTAACAAAAACACACAACACATTTTCAGTTTCAGCTTAATCCTACAGGTGGAACTAGAGAAGTTTAAAATAGGATATATTTAGTGAAACCATGATTGCTCAACCATGCTACAATTCGTCAGGTTTAAGAAGATACCAAAAAATTACAACAATTTTTTCAGCTTCCCTTCCATACATCCCCCCCCTCCCCACCCCCAAAATTATGGTTGAGAACCTTTAAAATGTGTGTGGTATTTTTTTAAAGATGGCAGTCCTATTAGATTTTGGACGTGGTGGAGGGGGGTCATGCCATATTTTTGGTTGTCGTTCTGATCAGAAATTGTATACCATATTTCCTTGTGAGATATAAACTTCCGTAAACACATTAACTACAATATCATATGGCTTTACTCGAGTATTAGAAATACATTGTATAATTATTAATCATTACAAAGAATGTCGAGAGATGTTGATGACAAGTGTATTTTCAAGATAAAATAAATTATCATATGACTGAATAAGAGATCCCAGAGGGGTCTTGGTGCCTATCACTGTCTGATCTTTATATTCTCTTTGAAAGTTAGATCTTTCCCCTTCTTTTCTCTTCTCTGATTTTGCTCTCAAAGATAAGACATTTGAATATTCTTTTGCAGAACTAGTGATGATAGTCTTTACCTGCTCAATCCAAAATGGCCACCTTGAAGCCATTTTGTTTCTTCTGATCAGCACATGTGGGCACATGTGCAATTCAAAAGATCTATCATGTACTTCTCAAGAAATAGACATAAACTTTCAAAGTTAAAGTACAAGATGGCCAACTTTCGGGTCAGTTCTAAAATTACATGGGCACAATTAGGGACTAAGGGGATCCTAAATATGAAATTTGAAAGAAATCAATATCTTCCTTTTCAAGAAATAGTGATAACAAAACTTCATTGAAAAAAATCAAAGATGGCTGCCTGTTGGCAATTTTGTATTTTTGATCAATCCCAAAATCGAATTGGCACAAATATGGACCAAGGGGAACCTATATGTGCAATTTGAGAAAAGTCCATCCAGTACTTTTCAAGAAATAGCGATGGACGGATGGATCATGGATGCAGAGCGATTTGAATCTAAAAATGGCGCTAAATATTTTCTTCTTTGACCTTTGTTTCCATTGTTTTGTCCCAAACTTGACAATTGTTTGCCTTTTTAACTAAACCTTCTCTGGAAAATCTGGATTGTGATCCTTTCGTTACCTTCCCAGATGTCCATGTTACTTTTATTTGTTCTAATACATCTTTAACTTGAAGGTGCTAGACTCTGTTGGGGGTCTTTGGATTTCGGGGTTTTCCGAAACTTTCATGCAACGTTTCAGGTCATTTGGAAAGCGGCAGTTGAAACAACACGCAGGTATATGAAGCTATTTTGAAATAAAAAAAATTACGGGATTCGTGCACCTCACCAGCTATTTTCATGCCCTCATATCACAATGTCAGGGACAAATAATTATTCTGCTTTTTGTCTGTTGTCAACTTTAACCTTAACTACAGAACAATAAGAGGTAGAGCTTTCATATTTGGTATGTGTGATCCTTGTGACAAGTCTTTCTTGTGGCACCAAACGTCTGACCTTGACCTTTGACATAAATTTGAAAAAAATTAACGTAACTTTTTAACCATAAAAGGTAGGACTTTCAGATTTGTCCATCATGATTTTCTTGTTACCGTGGGCATAGATAGTGTTACAAACATACATATTATTATTTCATATGCATTTATATTTGGAATCACAATTAAGTATCGAAGTTATCAAGCTTTTCTTTCGTACAATCATTCATACTGTAAAGTATTCTTAACCTGTGTCTTCAATCATAGGTTAAAGTGAATGGTGCTTCTCACTTGTCAATGATCTTCATAAGGAGAGGGATTATTATGGCAGTGTGCCTTTTGTTCAACCCTTTGTGATGAAAAGACTTATTCATCAGCGAACCTTTAATACAACCTTTCGTAGCAAAGAGATATTCACAAGCGTCTTTAGAACAATCCATTTTAATGAAAGGGAAAACTACAAGCTAATGATTACGATGGTCCTACAACAGTTCTTAGTGGATCAACATACTGAAAATACAAGGACGAGTGTTATAAAAAGAATTTGTCGATTCCCGGTATTTCATCCAATAGCTAGGAGACTTATCATACCTACTTCATTTCCATGTGTGATAACCAGCAGGCCATATTCAATGTTCGTCAGGATTCCAGGTGTTTCCGTTGTTCTCATTTCAGAACCTGACATTTTTTACTTGGGCTGACCAAGATTTATATATTGTATTTGTAACTGATGACGTTTACTTACCTTTCTGGAACACCTGGCCTTATTAACCTTGAAGTTGTAAGGACTTTTGTATGTCATCTTGTTTTTGTCTCCATTTCATTAATTTCTGGTTAGAATTAAGATTTTGTCAATAGTTTCTTCTTAGCCATTACATCAAAGAATTTAACCAGAAGAGATTCCAGAGAGATCTTGGTGCCCACCATTCAGTACTGCTGAAGAAATGGCAAAAACAATCTTTACTAGGGGAAATCCAAGATGGCTGCCTGTCGGCCATTTTGTTTTTCTTATCAGTTCCAAACTTAAAATTTGAGAAAGATCTATTAAGTTGTCAAGAAAGAGTGATAGCAAACTTTCAAAATCAAAATCCAAGATGACCCAAAATCAAATAGGCACCAGGGATCTAGGGGAATCTCCATATGAAATATAAGAAAGATCCATCCAGCACTTCTCAAGAAATAACGGTAACAAGAATTGTTTACGTATGAACAGACAACGAACCAGGTATATAGGGCGATTTGAAAAACCCACCCTCTGATAATAATGGGATAAAAATGCAGTCAAACCTTGTTCCTCAAACTTGACAAGGCCATGGAAAGCTTTGACAGTTTTCAGTTTAACCGAGTCTGAATGTTTTGTGCAAGTTAGGTAGGGACCAATGAAATGCTTTGAATTAAACAGGGGAAAGTTAGGTAGGGACCAATGAAATGCTTTGAAGTAAACAGGGGAAAGTTAGGTAGGGACCAACGAAATGCTTTAATTAAACAGGGGAAAGTTAGGTAGGGACCAATGAAATGCTTTAATTAAACAGGGGAGCGATACAAGTTGGAGATAACGAGATTCGACTGTACACAAAACAACAAGACGGTATATCGAGTGAGTATTGGTTTTTATTACAGGGAATGATACAATCTGTCCCAACTTACCAGCGAGTAAAACTGAGGTATATTCCATGACTACATCAAGCCATAAATGGCTGGTAAGTATAGACAGATGTCCATGGATTTTCTCCATGGTTTACGAGGTAATGTTTCAAAACTATCTCCAATGATGCATGTACACAAACCATTTTTGTCAAGTTGTCCAAAAAACCAAATGTGTACCGATTTATAGTAGAAAAATAAATTTCACAAATGAACCTCCCTGTCATATACAAGAGAGAATTAACAAAGAACAGTACAGGGAAAATAAGACAAAGAAATTGCAAATTAATGTGGAGACAATATTTTGACAGTACAGTGACAATATGACAATCTGAAGTTAGTGTCAACAATCTGCGTTCTATTATTGATAATGCAAACAGTTCATCTTTTTGCAGAAAAAATTTGACAAAAGACTGCTATTTTTTTTTTCAGATCCAATATTTGATCACTGTACATATCAAAATCAGGGGAGATAACTGGTGTACATTGAGTAACATTGAAGAAAAATTAACATTCTTACTGGTCATAACTCCACACACTTTTCATCAACAATTTCAGCAAGAATGAAACTAAGATTTCATTAAATTTACAAATTGATAGCATCCATATTTTTTTTCTCTGTATTTTTCAAATGATTGGAATACAAGTTTATCATATCATTATTGTTTATTTAAAACAAGACCATGATGGTCATCATGTTTAGACATGGAGACTAAATGTAACATCTGGCAATAATGATCCCCATATGTTTGACCAGAGAGAGAAATAAATGCAGATTTAGTTTAAAAATCTACATTTCTTTTCTACTCCTTTATCTTAAATAAGATCTAGCACTTTTTATTTGGAGACAATTACCTATAACAATATATATTTACACAGCTGTTCTGACCTGTAATGGGTCAGCTAGTCAGTGTACAAATATATGTTGGTATAAAATAGCACTGTTTTCTGTGATGCTGGGATTTCTTACAGCAACTGATAAATATATCTTATATACAATGTGTTTAGCTTAGTCTAGGTATTTATTTTAAGATAATTTGAATTTGATATTTAGATTATCATCAAATAATTATATTTCAAAGAACTTAAGAGTTAAAGAAATCAATGTACACCA